TGCATGGAAGGAGCGGCCATAGGAAGGAGGAGGGGTCTTCTGCACGAGGGAGGAGGCCAGGAGGAGGATGCATGGGGAGATATCTGATGGTGTGGGCAGCTGCCCACAGGAGAAGAGATTAGGTACTGCTAACATGGAATGGAAGATCCCTCAGGGAAGGCCACGACACGATGGCACTTGCCTGTGGAGGAAATAATGTGTGGCTTTATAACGCGGTTGACCAGCACTTCTTTGATTCACTGGACAAATACCGGAAGTTGCGGCATGCTGGAAGGGGAGGCAGCAGACAGAAGTCACCTGAAAACTGAGTGTCCTGGAGCTCACCTCTGCGGGTGCGAAGCCAGGAGACCGACTGTGCAACCAGGCAGCGCTGGAGGTGGGCCGCGGATGGGACGGCGCTGTTCATGCCAGTGGAGGGTGCCAGAGCAGGTGCCCAGGAGGCAGAGGCGGTGCCAGCCGCAAGGCAGCCGGGGCAAGGAAGGGCCGAGGCGTCCTGTGGACAGCCAGGGGCCCGGTGGCCTGAGCCGTGTCAGCCCCAGCCTGGCCGCGCGGACAGCGGGAGCAGGCGATTTCCTTCCAAACGAGGATTTTTTTTTTTTTTAAGCATAAATGGGCATTCTAAAAGTAAATCAGGTCGCTTTTTGAAAGAAATATTTATTATCCAAAAACTTGGTTTTATTATATTGCAAGACATAAAGATACAGCAATATCTTGGTTCATGAAGAGAAGGCTTTGGCCAAATTTTGCTTCTGTTAGGGAATTCCATGCTGGGTGACAAACAGGACCCTGGCCTTCCGCCTCAGAACTTTGGAGTGTTGTGAACTGAGGCACCAGTGTAATTCTATTTCTTAAAATGAAAATTTCTAATATATTTTAAATTCCATATAGCTATGTCATTGAAGCAAATTTTAAAACTCATACTGTTTAAAAGTAGCAGAAGGAAGGGCCGGCCAGATAGCTCAGTGGATTAAAGCGCCTGCTTAGGCTGGCGCAGGATCCGGGGTTTGATTCCTGCCAGGCTGTGCCGTGCCAGCCCCACACCTGGGGTGTGCTGAAAGGGCGACTGAGACTGGGCATGGTGGCGCACCTCTAATCCTAGCATTTAGGAGGCTGAAAACAGGAGGATCACTACGAGTCTGATCTGTGTAGTGAGACCCTGTACTAAATACATAAAAATAAAATAAAAATGACATAAGTACATTAATTACTCTTGCTATCTCGGCACCTTAACTAGTTACTCCGCTCCGACATCGCAGGGCCCAGATTTCCATCTGCTTTTCCACAAGGTGCTCTTATTTCCATAGCCCTGCGCTCTTCTGTGAAGCTGAAGGCTGTGGGTTTTATACCTGAATTTGATAACAGATTTAGTGTATGCTTCTCTGAAGGTCATAGACTTTTAGTTGAGAGAATACTGCCACCCTTATAAGTCTGAGTTCAAAGCAAATTCAGCTACATTGAAAGGCTTCTAAATTCTCTTCCTAATATTAAATTGTGTAAATATGTCAGGGAAACATTTCCACAGGCTCTGCCTGCTCCTGTTCACCGCTCCTTTGTGCAATAATAGTTCCCTAAGTCAGAACTTTGAAACCCTCTCTATTTGGAGTTGTTTCTCATTTCACCAAATACAGATTCTGCAAAATCACAGACTTCTGCAATTTCACTTCATTCTGTTGGAGCCTGTGTACATTAATCTAATTAAAAACAGGGATCAAAACTCAACCGTCAAGATTTAACCAAAGCACAGTTTTCAACTTAGGTCATTAAAGCCAATGAGCTCTCATCTTTTGATTTGTTCTGTTCCTCTTGGCTTTCATAGGGAGAAATCTGAGCTGCTTCCCTTGCAAAAGCTTTATTTTACATAATTGTAGCTTGCTAGATGTTTCAAAAGCTGTATTTTCATGCCATATTCATTGAATAATTTGATTCAAGATTTCCAACTGATTTTGCACATAATTGCCATGTTAATTTGGGCTGCTTTACAAAGAGGTGTTTCACAAAGACTGAAGCCCTTCAACAGTCCAAGAAGGGCAGCTACACAAAGAGAAAGTAGACACAGTCATGCTGACTGATGCGCCTTGTGTCAGGTATCAGCGTCTGTCCCTGAAAGTCTACATATCACGTACTTACCATCCTCTGTGTATGTCACAGAGGATAATAGTACTTACAATAATACGTATAATACTTATATTACTCACATAGTACTTATAAATTCAGACATTTCTGTTTTCATTCCAATCGTAGATTACTGCAACTTGTTTAGATGCAATCATGGATTGTGTAAACATCACAATCAATTCCAATTTTTGCTCCATAGTATTTGGTTGTTGTTGTTTGTATGTTTGGTTGTTTTTTGTGTTTTGTTTTGTTTTTTGTTTTTTTGTTTTGTCTTTTTGAGACAGAGTCTCCCTATGCAGCTCAGACTGGCCTTGAGCTCACTTTGCAGCCCAGGCTGGTCTTGAACATGCAACAATCCTCCTGCTCAGCCTCCAAGTGCTGGGGTTACAGGTGTGGGCCTCGATGCCTGGCTCTCCATAGGATTTTAAGTTGGTCAGAACACTACGCACGCCCCTACATTCATGTACTCATGTATTCATGTTCTCATCACACACACAAAAATCATCCTTACTGTTGAACTTTTTAGCTAAATTTATGACATTGGCAACATCCAGTTATTTATTTATGTATTTAGTCTGCAGAATGAGCCTATAAACAACTGAACTCTGGATCAGATGAGAAAACGCTTGAACTAGTTGAGAAATGAATCTTCTGAGACCTCTGAGGATGTGGACACAAAGCTGCCATTCTCTGTTGGACCGCTAAGGGAGTCAGTTCAGCCACCGCCAGCTCACCATATTTCCAGGATCAGGGAAACCTGGAATCGAAAAACGAGCAGCGGATTTACCAGAGCAGAGTCGCTTGATAGACGGGAAAGCAACGCCTCCCAGCGAGGGGGAGGCGGCGGGAGCAGCCGGCGCGAGCACTTACCGCCCCGGCACGCGCTTGTTTTATCCTCTCTCCCTGCCTTATTGCTCTGGATGTAAGAACTTATGCCTATAAACAAAAGAATCTTGCAGTATGTTCACCATAAGAAAAGTAGCCATGAAGAAAAGCAGCCCAGGCAGCCCAGGGCAGTCACATCCAAATGGCAGCTCTGGGGACAGCGGTCCTCCGGCCGTCACACGGCATGGTGGCGAGCTGGTCCTCTCCACTTAGCGCCGGCCCGGCCTCCTCCACACGGGGCTGGGAGTGGACGCTGCGGCACAGCGGACGGCTGGTGGCTTTCGTTTCCACCGCACTATTTGCTCCAATATTTTCACTGGTATGTCACCTATTGCGCTGCATATTCCGATCAAATGACACCCAGGGCACCAGTCGGTCATCACCCTGACTGTGTGAGAGCAAAAGGCTTAGCCCGGTATGAACCGGGAGAACCAGTCAGCTGGGAGAAGTCTGTCTGTGGCACAGTTCGCAGAGGAGGGCCCAGGACTGGCCATTTTTCCGGTTCTACCCTTTTTCTCATTTTGTCACCCACAATTTCAACTTGTGTGCTATGCTTCAGTCCCTTAAGATGAGGTTAAGGTTTGTGGTAAGAGCCCAAACACGGTGAAAAACAGCAATCAGAGAAATAGGCCAGAAACCTCATTCATCTATCTCTCTAGGAAGAAAGAAGTCGTGTTCCAAATTGTCTACACTAGAGTAATACCCAATATGGAATATGCTCTTTCGGCAGGGCTTCCTCCACATGACACACCTGTACGCCTGGCCCATGGTCACAGAACGCGGCCCACGGCCAGAAGTTCCGTTCGAAACGGCTCCTGAGCCCTCTCCCCACGAGCTCCGCGACCGGGTGCATCCTCAAAGCTCAGTCGGGGGTTTGCTCGGCCTCTTCCTGGGCCTCTGCGGGAACCTCGGCCCGAACGGCGCTCGCTTCTGGCGCTGGACCCTTCCTCTTCATCATCTCCTCTTCGTCTCTCCACCTCCAACGTGGTGCACCGTCTCGCCCGTTACCGTGTGCTGACCTGCCGGCCTCGGTCGACGTCTTGCGCTGCGGGATGCAGGTCTTTCCGACCCGGGCCTGCCGCCAGCCGAGCCGAGGGGCTTGTTCGCTGGACTTGCTAGCTCTTCCGCGGCGATGACTGCGTTGGCCTCGTCCTCACTCACATTTTCACCAGGACTATTTAATTTGGTTTCCTGGTTCTCTCCCCTCTCGCTGTTACTTCTCTCCTCAACCTTCTCTTCTTTCTACTTTCTAATTTGGGGCTTCTTACTGCTTTGGCGTAGGCTGCTCTCAAACTGCAGAAAAGTTGTTCCAGTGTTCACTCGTTCACGTGGTGTTGGCCAGAGATCCACAGAGCTGGAATCACTGGCCCTGTTGGGTTTCTTTGCCTTGAGCGTTCCTGCTTTCATGGGTTTTGGGAGACTGAGCTCCGCTTGCAGGGCGTCCGGCGGGGGCAGCGACGGCCGCATCTTCTCCTTGAGGCCCCGGACAGCTCCCGGGTGCCCTCGGCCAGCCGGCTGGCGGACCACAGGGGAGGCAGGGAGGGGAGCTCCCCGGCCTCGGGCCTCGGGTGGAGCCGCGCGTCCAGTGCCAGGTGCAGCGCCGGGGCCACAGGGCACCTCTGGGTGCGCCCCTAGGCCGGCAACGGCTCCTCCACCCCCGCGCCCTGCGCTGAGCTTGGCTGCAGCCACCCAGCAGATTCTTTCCGAAAGTGAAACAGTAACTTGGGACATTGATGCTAATTGTTCGGAGTCCCCGAATCTGTGGGCTCCGGCTTTCAGAGGCAGGGCGGCCTCTGCTCGCTTGTGCGCTGGATGGCAAAGGCTGATGAGTATTTTGTGCGAGTTACACATTTATCATCAGATTTTCTGAGAAAGCAAAACGTGAAGTTTTGGTTTGGGTTTTAGTCAACCACTGAAAGAGTTTATCATAAAGTTTAAGGTATCATGAAATAAAACAGATACTTAGAATTTTATACACACAAATAATAACAAACTGCTTTAACAGAAATGTTCAGATCATACTATAATCTCTGACAAGACTGTGGAGCCGCTATTTCCTAAGCTTCATCTGTATGACGTTGAGTCACATTTTCCCGTATTTCTTACTGGCTCAGGCAAGGGCCACGGGCCCCTCATGTGTCTTGGGAGGCTCTGGGTGCAGCACCCAGGAGGTGAGCGGCAGCAAAGCCCACACACGTTTCTGTCCCCCCTAAGACTAGAGGCGTCGGCTGGAAGCTCCGGGCGCCCGTGCTCCGTGCATCATCTGTGGGAGAGTATCACTGCTTAGGCTTTGCCTGAACACGATCAGGAAAAGAGAGGAGCCGCTGTGAGTCACCTCTCCCAACCAGCCGTCGCCAAGGAAAAACTCAGATCACCACGAGCTCTTCCTGTATGCTACCGGGTAAGACCGTGAAAGATGCTGGAAGAACCAAGTTAAGCCATGTTGGCTTTTGTGGATGCAAATGCTAATATGAATTTTTTTTTTTTAATTGCAAGTTTAGAGTAAAAGGAAGTCCTAGGATGCCAGAAAATCCCTTTCAGTGTCCACCAGAAAATACGATCACTCACAAAAGTCATGAAATAAGAAGCCATGGTGGGGCTTTCAGTAGAAGAACGGTGCGGCCTGCCTTAGGCTTTAAGGAACCATGGTGGATCTCCGCTGGGTACAGACTGCAGAGGAATAGGGACAGCACTTAGGGGCTGCGGCTGCAATGAACAGAACAAAGATGACAGCTCGTAGACCCACCAACCTGGAGCAGCGCCCAGGAAACGCGACTGCAGGACGCAGCAGCTCATGAGCTCCGATTCCACGGCCACACTGCTGGCTGCTGCACAGAGTGAACAGCGATGAATATGGATCTCATCCAAAGCACCATGTGAAGAGAGTGCCTCCTCAGCCCATCTGTCCCCTACCGGCAAGCAGCCTTGGCACAATGGAGGGTCACATCACCTTGGCCACGGGAAGAGGACAGCTCGTCTGCAGGCGTACTGGCAGTTTTAACTCAACTTTTAAAAAAATTACATCATCTCTTCGGTTTTATTTTGAATCCATTCCTTAGAGCATTGTCTTCTCTGAGTATACTAATCAAGGAATTTCCTCAACTATTCAGCAAAAAATAAGCTCTAGAAAGAGGTGATACTGAGAAATCACCCACAAAGACACATCCGAACTGCCACTGGCCTCTCCCTGGTGACTTCTCAGCCTGCTCAGTCTAGTCAGACTGCAGCATGGTACCTCTGACCCCCAGATGCCCCCGTCAGAATAGACCAAGTAGTCCACTCGGTACCCTACCTGCTACCACACCTGTGCTAGGAAAAAAAATAATAAGTAATTATTTTTCTGTGATGACTTCTTCAATTGACCTCTTTTTTTTTCTTTTTAAAGAACAGGGCCGGCCAAATAGTTTAGCAGATTAAAACACCTACTTAGGCAAATGCCACCACTGGGGTTCAACCCCGGGTTGGTGTGCCCAGAGGGCACGATGAGACAGTGATTGAGATTGGGCGTGGTGGCACACACCTGTAATTCCAGTGCTTAGGAGGCTGAAAACAGGAGGATCACTACAAGTCCGATCTACATAGTGAGTTCCTGTAGACCCTTACTAAAATACAAATAAATAAAGAACGATCTCTAAATGAACATTGAAAGACTCTATTTCCTTTCTCTTGGATCTATGGTTCTCTTTTCCTATCAGAGATAGGAAAATACAATGTGCAATACAACTTGCTTTTCAAAGATAGCCCAAGCACCTCGATTGAATGTACCACAATAAATGAAAAGTTACCATTGAGGGACTTGCGTCACTCTCCAGGCGCGGGCCATCGGCAGTCTTGCCAAGGTTGCTCTGCATTTTGGAAAGCTGATTCAGGGGAGGAGAAGCTGGGTCAAAACAGTCATCACTGTCCTGGAGGGTGGAGCGCTCCAGTTCCTCCAACAGCGCATCTGTACCGGAAGAAGAAAGAGAGTCATAATACGTAATGATTTCCCACAGTGATTTTCCCCTGGATCATGCCCACTGTGCCTCAGTCAACTCCTTCTCTTGGATTAAGGCTATTTTTTAATCCCTTCCTCTCTTCCCCACCCCCTTCTCCATCAAGAACACGGTCAGTTCTACTAGGAGGTGTCTAATGTCTTTGTGGTTTTTAAACCCTTTTTGCTGTGGTTATATTCCATGTCACATTTTCACTCTACAATTTAACTTCTATGTTACAGGCATGAGTTTTCCCCACTCACTTCCAGCAGCTCACTCAAAGATCTCCAATTAAAGTTCTCCAATTAAAAAAGAAAGTAAATCCTATAGTTCCTATCAAAAATATAAGCCATTTTATTGTCATCTTTTTCAAAATATACCAGAGAAATAACATGTTCTTAAGCCTAGAATTTTTGTCTTTAATCTCAAGAATTATCCCAAGTACACAAAATTCCCTCAACAATGTGTAAGTATTCTTTTTAGAGAGGGAAAAGTTAGGGAACAGAGATATTGCAAGACAGAATAAGATGCTGCACTCCAAGAGTTGATACTTGTCTTGCAGGGGTTTTTTGTTTGTTTGTTTTTTTTTTTTGTAGTCTATAAACTTTACTGAAAGAGGTCTATAAACTTTACCAGAACTTTACGACCGTAAGTGCACCTTTTTGTTGTAACAAAATTAATACTAGAAGTTAATAATACCAGCCACAATGCTCAGGAGTTTATACATTTCATTGAATTATTCTAACATTTTGAGACAAATTATACTATTGTTCTGATTTTGTAGATTGAGAAACAAAAAAAATAACAAGCATAGGCTCCTAAGTGTGGACCTAAGATGTAAATCTGGGCTATTTGACCCCAGCCCCTAAACAACTGCAAATTAGAAGTGACAGTCCCATTCTCACACAGATTCTCCGGGTCACCTGGTGCATGGCAACTCTGATTTAGAACAATGTTTTAACTATGAGTCAAGGGCTCTCTACTGGCCTTTTTAACCACAGGTTACAGATCTTAAAAGTTTATAGAGGGCCAGAGAGGTGGCTCAGTAGAATAAGCGCTTCCCTGGCAAGAGCAAGGACCTGAGTTCAATCCCCGGTTCATCAAAAAAAAAAAAAAAAAAAAAGTTTATAGAACACCAGGCTATATTGTATCTAAGGACCCATCTCACTCTGAAGATCTCAGACAAAGAAAATGAACATCATGTATTTCCCATTTTGGGAGGATGCCTATTTCTTAAAAGTCAGGAAATCTAATCATATTTACAAGTCGAATCTTTTTACTTTTGTACTTTTATTTTTTTGACACAGGGTCGCGCTACACAGTTGTGACTCATAGTGATCCTCCTATCTCAGCCTCCCTAGTACTGGGATTACAGAGGTATCCCACAACACCCTGTTCATGATGCACCTGGGGTTCTGGGGCTGGCGTGGCATGTGGTACCTCGGATCAAACTCAGGTCCTTGTGCTTGCCAGGCAACGCTTAGACCACCAAGCTATCTCCCTAACCCTATAAGTCATATCTTTTGTAGAACTTCCTCACTCATCCATACTACAAAAATGTTGACTTTCATACACCATTTTATATTCAAGCAGTCTGAACTGAAGTGTTCAGATCCAATTATACTTTTTTTTTTTTTGCATTTTAGGGAAGGATCTACAGCGTATTCAGGATCTCACTACTAGGTCAAACTCATAGTGATCTGCCTGTTTACAGCCTCCCAAGAGCTGGGATTACAGATGCACGCCACCTCACCCAGTCTCAATTGTCCTCTCACAGCACCCCAGGGACGGGGCAAGCACTGCAGGCCTGGGGATCAAACCCCCAGCCCCTGCGACTGCTTGCAGGAGCTTTAATCCGCTGAGCTATATGGCCACCCTTCAATTACCCTTGAATGAATAAATTATAATGAGTAAAAGAGATAGAGTGCCTATAGATTAAAACACTTCAAAGACTAATAACTAATTTCAATGTATGAGGCTTATTTAGATCATTCAACTTTAAAAAATAAAACAACCAAGAATATTGAACATTGACTAGTCAATAATATTAAGTACAGTTCATTTACTTTAGATGTGAAAATGATATTTGAAAATACTGCAATTTTTTCAGTTTTTACCTATGCAAATAGCACTTCACCATACTGAGGAATTTCTAAGTTTGTTGCAGGTGTGATGCTGGTAGTGTCATTTGTATAAATATACATTTATGTTACAGATTAATAATAAGGTATTTACAGATGAAACAATGTAATATATGAAGTTGTTTTGCAACAGTACAAGGATGGAAGGAATAGGTATATAAAACGTCAAGAGGTGATGATTGGTCAAAAGTGACGAGGAGTGTATCAGATTTCATTGAACTATTTTTTGATATTTTATGCTTTAAAACTGTATAAAGTTCTTTTAGGAAGAAAAAAAACTAAGAAAGTAAAACTTTTGTCTCAGAATGTCATTAAGCACACCGTCTAAAATTCAGATTTCTAAATTTTTATTCTGTATCCCTTTAAATTCTCTTTCTGTTTCTCTAGGTTTCTTTCCAACAAGAAGTAACAGATCTTCCCAGACTAATAAAAAGCAATTTAAATGAAACTCGTGGCGGGGAGATCATGCCACAGTCGGTATGAAGCCACCCTTGGAAGCACCAGCTAACCGAAGTTATGTAACTCTCATTTCTGAGGCCACGCGCTCACCAGCCTTTCTCTTCCTGTTTCGATTAATGCACATCATCAGCACCCTGAGCTTATGTCTTCTGCCAGATTCTATAATTTGAAAATGACTAATTCCAATGTGACAGATGAGATTATTGGGGTTCCGGTTGGACTCCACTGAAAATACTGTCTTCCCTAATTTTTTATCTGCAAAAATCAAATCTCCTTTCACAAGAAAGAAGCGTAGTGTGCACTCCCTTGAGGCTCTCCTCTGATGGGTTGTGAGGATTTCATTCAGAGCTGGAGCTGCGCCTGGTCTTTCCTAGCTCTCATTTTCTTTTCTTTTTTTTATTATTAATTTCATTGACAAGCAAATAGCAATGAGACAGTTTCAAAATCTATTACTAGCAGAGTTTCAATAATTAATACATTGCATATTGTTGTCTTGGTGGTTATTCGTTGTACAAGATGCAGACATGATATCCTGCCCAAAAGCACTATTCCAACAAATCTCTCTATTCATTGAATTAAGAAAACGCAGCTGTATATCTATCCTAACTACTTTGAATATACAGAGACAAGGGGTCGTTCATTTGTATCCCCCTTTTTTGTTTAGTTTTATCAGATGGGTATTCCATTATCATTTAAATATTGTAGGTGCATGAAGTCAGTGAAATATCCCAATATAGTCCAGTAGTCCATAATAGTAGTGGGTTTTCTGTAAGACTGGCAATGTCAGAAGTTGTTGACTTGAGCCTTTTACAGATCAGCATATTAATATGGCTTTACTTTTTATACTTCGTTTTTATACTTTTCTGCTGGATGGTTAAGACCAAGATAAAGCAAGACCTATATAACAAGAAATGTAAATTTGTATCTGATAAGGTCAGTCAAATCCCCTCAGGATTTACCCTGAAACCCTGTGGGACACTTTGTAGATCCTTTGTCAGTGTCAGCCATGTGGATCAGTCACGGCCTTTGCTTGACCCACTTGCTCTCTGTGAAAGCCTGAGAAAATGTTTTCTCTCCAGGTGACTCTCCTTAGGCGCATTCTACATCATCGATCACTTTCATCTGTGGCCCCAAAATCTCCTTGATCAGAAAATCTGGGACACAGCTGAGTTACAAGCTGTTACAGCACAGGTTCTCCTATGTTCTGAGTCTTCACTGACTTTGAAAGGCTAGGGCCAAAATGTTGGCTGTCCTTGCAGCCCTCCTTTTTCTCTAATTTTGGGCTGCAAATTGAGGTTGTTAACCCTCCAGAAGAGAAGTTTATTATTACCCTTCAACATAGGTTGTTGAGCTTAACCTCACTATCTGTCTGAATATCAAACATTTTAGGCATAACATGGAACAGGTATTTTCCATCAAGTATTGAAATAAACCAGATCCACATGTGTAAATATCACATAGTCTCTCTAGTATAAGAACTCAAAAGAAGAAATAAAAACAGAAATGTATAACACAACTAAAAGGAAAGCAAGAACTTAAGGATTAGACAACAAAGACAGGGCAAAGAGACGAGCTAAGAAACATGACAGGGGCAATGCCCTACATTTATATGCACAAGATGCATAAGGCAATGATCCTGAGAATCCTCAGCATGTTATTGAAACTAGCAGTTAATTGGTAGGATTCTCACCCTGACTAGCTATATGTGCTGATGCCTGTGAACTAAGCAACTGCACTGAAGAAAGAAATGTGTAATGGTAGGGTCATGCTTGGAATACCTGTCATTCTGATCTTCTAAATACATACTGTTTGTCATGACATACCCATTACTGCCATACTGTCTCAAGTAAATGTTTTTTTAGAAAAAATAAAAGGGTAATAAATGAAAACAAGAGACAAGAAAAAAATATGTCACAGGACTCTCCTGCTACCATGCTGTATATGGTTAGATTTCTAAATTTCTGTGTAAACATATGTAACTGTTTATTCCTATTTTCTACAATATTTTTAAAATTTTTTTTCTTCATATTCTGTAGGGACCTATCTCTCATTTTCAAGCGGAGCACATTGAGTTAAAACCTTCTGGGCATATGCAATCTATTAACCCCCCAGGCAATACCACAGAGAGGAAAAGTTTGCTCGCCCAAGCCAACCTTTCCTCCATACCATGTCTTTGTAGGAAGGAAGAGAAATCCTCCCCAGAGTTGACAATAGTCACTGAGCTAAGGATCTGAGGAAAGAAAGTGCAGACGTTAGCACGCACTGAGTCGTAGCCAACAAATGTTAGCTTGCAGGGCACTTGGTGCTTTCTGCATTGCTCGGCAAGATTTCTGTGACATGCACCCTGCCCAGAAAAATGTGAAAGTGCTCAATTTTTAAAAGCTGTGCTATTGCATTAGCCAGAACACCTGAACATACTTCTAATAAAGGAGAACACTTTGTAGTGTGATTGTGTTTGGTGCCAACACGTTCTGAGAATAACACTGGACATGTGATTTTTGCCTGTTTTCGTTACTGTTTCATGTTTTTAAAAATGTGGACAATATCTACTTAGAGGATTGCTGCAAATAGTAAAACCATTATCACATGTAAAAACTATCTAGTCTTAAACTATGTCACTGAATAAGTATCAGTTTTCTTTTAATTATCTGCATGAAATTTGGTATCCCTAAAATAAAAAAGATGACTCTGGTGAAACTCAGATGCAAATTCCTCCAATTCTCATTAGGGATAAGAATTCAGATCCTACCCTAAGTCCAAAATAGCATTTAGCCTAATATAAAAGTAACTTCCAAAGTCGGGCAGTATTTATTAAGACCAACTCTTTCTTATGATTAAGAGCAGCTCTTTCCTTCTATTTGCCTTCCTTTTTCTCTTTCTCCAGCACTCAAAGCAAGAAGACAGAATGCAGATAACTTTTTGTTATTGTTGTTGCTTACATTCTTGACTTATTTACGAATACACACATACCCCGGACATTGTGGAATTAACAGTTAGAAAACTGGGTAAAAGTCCCTCAGATTAGGCTGCCGGCAACAACATTAGCACCATCTGTGGAGTGAGTTCCAAGAATGACAAAACTTTCCTCCAAAGTTGGGGATACTGTAGCCAGTAGCCCCACTACTGGCTTCAGAACTGCCCTGAAACGGGAGGGAGCATTATATTTTCAGACCCTAGTAATCTGCCCCTTCAGGATTCTGAGTAAGAAAGTGCAGCAAATAATATTAGAAGTTTAGTACTGTATCTCTTTGCTTTAATCCTAAGCCATAGGGCAAACGAGATCACTCCGGCCCCCCTCCAGCCTCTGCTGCCATTCTTTTCCCTGCTCTTCTATCCCACTTCTGTTTAACACCCTTCTCCCTTCTTTCAGTTCTCCACTAATCACGTTGGTGAGCTGTGTAACATCCCACCATCTCCAGTAGCCCTCAAGGGGGCCAATGCAAATGACCAGCATAAGACACTCTCAGTCATGATCAGTGCAAGAGCAACTGTGGGAAAGTGCCCCATGCCAGCACCCTGCTCCCGCCCACTGCGCCACTGCTGTGAACTCTGTTCCTACTCAGGGCGCGCTGAGGATGTAAGTAAAAGTGAGATCTTCCAGCTCGCCCCTCAGCCCGAGCCCAAGTCCAGGCCCCACACGGAGAAGGCTGCCATGTGTTCAGTTTGTACAGGAAGCTCCGCACTCACCCAGCTCCTCCATGGCCCTGCACCTGCGATGCTGTGCTCGCACACGTCCTCAAGTACTTTAAATGCGGTGAGGATGACGGCCCAAAGGAACGGAATGAGACAGCGTAAAGCAGCCTCTGTAACCTTTTCTGGTTCCTGTATTTGCTTAGCACTTCCTCTCTTGGGGTTTTTTTTTTTTTTTTTCTTTTTATGTTACAGCTTTTAAGATGGGCCTGACATAGAAAAGCAGGCTGTAAGATTTAAGTTGTGGTAGTGCATTGGTCAGGGATCAAAATTAAAACTTAAAAGACTCGAAATTAACCTTACAAAACTTGAACACCTGTCCCATTCTGGAATTCATGCTGAATTCATGGAAAGGCCAGATTTTCACTTGTGGTTTTTTCCAAGCGTACTTATCCCGCTGTGACTAAGCTTCTGGTCTTCCTTATTCCCGTGCAGTGGAGCCCACAGCGGCCCACTGCCCTCAGCTTCCCGTGATGGTTAACTAGTGCCCAGGGCATCTTGCCTCTTTGCTTACTTATGCAGGAATTATGCTTATTTGCTTCCTTGTATAGATGGTAAGTCCCTTAAAGGCAGCATGAAAGTAGCGCTCCATTCAGATTCTTGGGTGCTCGCTTATTCAGAGGCCCCAAATAAAAACATGTGTGGTCCCAAGAATAATAAAGCTGGAAAGCTTGAGGTTCCCAGTGCTAGGCTGCGACATGAACTGGGCACAGTCCTTGCCTTCTTGCACGGCAGTGCAGCAGTTCCTGTAAAAATTGACACTGACGTTAATTCATCTACTTTGCCACTGTGAGTTTATTCATCTTGAACGAAACAACACATCTACAGAAGGCCGGTATGATCAGACGGTATGTAACTGTAGTAACAGCCCACGAAACGCATTTTATCCTGTTTTTACCCGTGGCGAAATAAACTCGAGGATTAATTTGCTTAAGTAACAAAACAGCTTTGCTACTTCTATAATCCATGCTTTAAATGAGAAAGCCTGTAGTCTTTACAATGCATTGGCTTTTTTCTTTCATTTTTCCATTCAATTACGTCTCCTAAGACACCCCCCCCCCCATTCCCCGTCGTCTGCATTACTTTAAGCAGCCATTGGATGTCAGTGCTGTTCCAAAAGCCTGCTCATTGCAAAGTTTGGAAAAATTCCCAAATACAACGTGCCAATCTTTCCAACTAAAAATGTCATTAGCCGTATGGAAGTTCAAAACGCAGTACACAATATAAAACATTTGCCTGATCTTAAGTGGTAATTAAGTCAAAATACTGGAAAGAAAAACATACTTCAGCACTCGTTCACAGTTTAATGATTAATGTGAAATTTAAAATTGGATCTCAAGATTTTAATTTCCATTCTTTTCCGTCTGGAGGTTTTAATTCCAGATGGATTATTCTGTAGGTCTAGAGAACACTGTTTTCACATCATCTGGATTATAATGGAGAAAAGGACTGCGCACGGCCCAGCAGACGGTCCAGTGGAAAGAGACCCGCTGGTGGAAAGTCCCTCTGACACACCAGTCAGGCAACAGAGCTGCTCACGCCAGTGGGCAGAAGGGATCCGGAGCAACGCTGCTCTCCAGACCGCGCTTCCTGCGCTGCACAAACGTGTAAACCGCAGCAGCGGACTTGGGCGCGCGAGAGCGACTTTCGGCTTCTGGCGGTCCCACAAATCACGCTAACACCCTTCCGCCCTCGGGCTCGGGGACCGCAACCGGCCCTCACTGCCAGCTGCCGGCAGGAAGGGGAGGTCAGTGCGTCCCCCTCGGTGGCGGGCAGGGTCCGGCCCCGGAGACCGCACAGAAGCTGACTCAGTTCCCGAGCTCCTGGGTGCCGAGCAGGGCTCGACCCTGGTGACAGGACGAAGAAAGAGCCGGGCGGTCTCAGGGTGCCACCGATCACTACCAAGGTCAGCGAGGACTATGATGTGGCCAGCCCGGGAAAGCTGCAACAAAGCCAACTAAAAAACTACCCCCCAAAATCGCAGAACCCTCTCCAGGCCATCCAAGCCACCAATTGGCTCCACGTTTGCTTCCGACATGCGCAGCGTCGCGGCCTAACCCGGAAACACCGCCTGCCTGGAAAGCGCTTTCCACCCTCCGGCTGCAGAGATGAACTACATCTCCCGTGGAGGTGGACCTAAGCTCCCAGCGTCCTCTCCGCCTCCGCTTTTGGTCAATAAATAAGACTTCACCTCCCAGGATGCCCTGGGCTGGGCTGCCCGTGCGCATGCCCCAGAGGGCGGGCTCTCGCGGCCCCCCACGACCCCGCCCCTGTTCCACAGCCGCCATTTTTTCGGAGACTTTCCTCCGGCAGCCCACGGAGCTTTTTTTCTTAAAGGAGAAGCAACAGCTCAAAAAATTTCCCCCTTCTCGCCGCACGTCCTGGCGGCGCTGGGGACATGAAGGCCAGAGGCAGGGAAGTGTGGTCAGGTTGGAGGCGGAAGAACGCTCAGGCTACTTCTGCGGCCTAAGGAAGCGTAGAAAGAGCCCCCGTGGTAATAGCGGGTCCTTAGGGAGGCAGGTGCGCGCGCATCCGGCCCAGGGCGCGCACAAGGCGGGGAAAGAGGTGCGTTTCCTTCTCACCCCATTCCCTCGCCAGTCCTGCCCCTCCCACTGCCCCTAGCACGCGTTTAACTACGGAGGAGGGGGAAAAGGTCACTTTGGGATTGTCGCGAGACGCTTCCGCTTAACGGTGAGAACGGGTGCGCGGGGAAGGAAACCTCGCGCGCTCCCTTGGAGCCGTTTCCTGATTGGCCGAAGGAGGGGGTGGGGCGGGACCCTAGTACGTCGCTGCGTGTGAGTTCGTGAGGGGCGGGGCCAGGTGCCGCTCCTCCTCTCTCATTGGCCCGCCGAGCGTCTGCGGCGGGCGCGCGCGCGCTCCCCGGCAGTCGCGGGCCTTGAGTGGCAGGGGGCGGGGGGGCGCCCTCGGCGCGGGCGGAGGGGAGGGGGGAGAGGCGCTCGGGGTGAGAGTAAGCCGGACGCTCCGGGAGGCGACGGGGGCGGGGGGTGCAGCGCCGGGGCGGCCGCCGCCTCCGCCTCCGCCGCCCGGGACGAGGGGTGGGGGACGGGCGAGCCCTGATGCCGGGGGAGACGGAGGAGCCGAGCCCCCCGGAGCAGCAGGACCAGGAAGGGGGAGAGGAGGCCAAGGCGGGTCCTGAGGAGCCCCAGCAACCGCCCTCGGCGGCGGCTCCCGCGGGGACCACGAGCAGCCGCGTGCTGAGAGGCGGCCGGGATCGGGGCCGGGCCGCCGCCGCCGCTGTGTCCCGCCGGAGGAAGGCCGAGTACCCGCGCCGGCGGAGGAGCAGCCCCAGCGCCAGGCCTGCCGACGGCCCCGGGCAGCAGCCTCCGGCCGCGAAGCCCCCGTCACCAGCTCAGGGAAAGAAGAGTCCGCGACTCGTGTGAGTACCGCGCGTCCTCGGCCGTGCAGACCCCCCGCCCCTCTCGGCTCCCGTAGCACCCGCCCCACGTGACGCGCGCGGCGAAGCCCTGCGTCTCCGCGCAGGGGTCGCTGCGCGGTGGTCCCGAGCCCGGGCTTCCGCGCCCTTTGTCGGTCCGCGCGGTCCCGTCCTGGCCTGGCCCTCGCGGCGCTCCGTAGCGTGTCCGGGCCCCGTTAGGGCCCAGCCTGGCGCGCGCCCCTCCCTGCGGCTGAAGCTGCTCCGCGCGCTCCCGAGCTGTCAGCGTCCGCGCGGCTTCTGCGGGAGGTGGGAATCGGCGTCGGAACCCGGGCCCTGCGACTCTAAATTCCGGGGTCGCATGGAACTTAAGTCAGATGGGCAGTTCTTGGGCTTGCCAAGCAGCACGTTTTCTGCATGTGTTTTTGTCTGTGCTTTTAGGTAGGGACTTCATTGTTGAAAGGAGACTCCTGCGAAGGGAGTTGTTCTGTTGCCAGAGGTAATGAACCGGGAACAGATGGCCAAGAGCGTAAATATTTTAAATTGCTTATTAAGATCTTGCCCTCTGGCTCGTGTGTTAAGAATACTGAAGCACACAGCTCTGTAAGTGGTAAAGATTAATTGCATTGGCTCTTGAATTCGTTACTGAAAACGTTTGAAAAAAAAATAGTGAAACCAGGGAAAATTGAAAAGAAGGGGGTGTCAATTTTGATTCTTCAGTAGTTTTAGTGGCAAGATCTGGCCCACACTAGATCTAATACTTTAAAAGAAATCTGTTTCAAAATTAAGGCATCAGAGGCCTCTCAGGGAATAAAGTTCTCTGTGATGACACATGCTTTGAGTGTCGTTTAACATAGTTTGCTGTGTGATCTGTAGTTCTGGGGACAGTAGATTCCTGAGCTAACAAATTATAATTTTAATTGCTGTAGATGCATTTCGTATTCATCACATTTTAAAGTTAATTTTTCACAAGTTTGAAAAGATACCATCAATCTTTAGATATAAATTTGTTGTACAAATTCCTGAACAGATTTTTGCTTCAATTTCCCTATTTAAAGGACATATATGGGGATAATCCGAGCAACACGGGTTTGTGTGGGTTAAATTACATTATGTGATCCACTTCACATGCAATATGTAGTAAATACTGAGTAAAACTTGCTGCTTTGCGAAGTTGCAGCATACAGGCATAAGTGGTTTGTAGTCTTGTTTTTCAAGTTTGCAAAATTAATCTTCATCATACATAATGAAGCTACGTTGAAAGTATATTTTTTTTTCTCCCAGGCTCCTGGGGGTTGAGCCCAGGGTCCTTGCACTCAGCTCTCGTCTCAGCGTCCTTTCGTTTATTTACTTGGCCAGTCCCGCAGAGTTGCTGAGCTGTTGCTGTTGGATTCCAATTTGAGGTCCTCATGCCTCAGCCTCCCGGACAAGTAGGATTTCAGGCTTGTATCACACTGGAGTTCAAGCCTTTGTCTTTCTTGCTCTGTATTGAATTTTGAACTCAGGCCCCTGCACATGGCAAGTAGTTTTAAAATATGTTTTCATTGTCATCTACCTGTTAGGAGTTAAATGTACCTGTATTTCCGGACTGTTAGGCCTGAAGTAGTAGTTTTACCTTTTATCAAGATTTTTTTCCTAACTTGGCAAAAAGTATTTATAACTCTCTTCCTGCCACAATCTGTGTTAAACAGACTTGGTGGAGATGATTTAATTAAATTCCTTCAGTTTTGTCCTCTACAGTTTTCCTTAGGAAAGGAAGGAACAGTCTGAATTGTCGGTGTTTCTGTCTGATCCTGTATTCTAAAACATAACAGCAATCAATGGTGGTTTCCTTTTACCTTCTTTCGCCGCTACTTAATCTCTAGGCAGTGTTGCCTTAAATTGTAGAATAAGATAAGAATGCTAGCTTAAGTTTTTGTCCTACGAGTAGAGCACCTGTTCAGTTCACTGCACAGCCAGGAAGCTAGCACACTGTCTCGTGTGGCTGTGCGGGTTGGAGCAGGTTGGGCTTGGGACTGTGCAGAGCTGGGCCACCGAGAAGAGGGATGCAGCCCTGACTTCAAGGACTTACGTGAAAGGCAAAGCTGCGCTCAGGAGTGGAGCCTTCTTACCCATTGTGCGTGGTTTATGTACAGATTTTTCAGGGATAGAACAGATTTTTGCACTGAGTAGTTTTTTTTTTATTATATTTTTTTTGCGGTACTGGGGATTGAACTCAGGACCTTGCCCTTGCCAGCCAAGTGCTTATTCTACTGAGCTATCTCTCCCCTGGCCCAAGTGTTTAGAAAGAAGACATTTTGAGAAGTTTGGAGTGACCTTGGTTCATCTGTTATTCAACTAACATTGTGGCCAGGTTAAAAGGAGTTGAAGGTCATATCTGTATTGTTTGTTCCATTCAGATCCTCCTTCCATATCCCTGCTTTTTCCCTACCAAGTCCCAGTATGGAGCTGTTTAGCATGCACAATTGTTTCTGCTGAAGAAAGAGGCAACAAAGTATATGCCAATTTACAGGGTCAATAAATACATCGATTTGGATTGGTTGAAACCTTCCTTCCTGATAGAAGGCAAATTATATAGTGGGAAAAACACTGATTTAAAGTCAATTTCAAAGGGCCGGCCAAATAGCTCAGCAGATTAAAGTGCCTGCAAGCACGATTAGGGTCCTGGGTTCAATCCCTGGGGTGTGCTGAGATTGCGCGTGGTAGCACGCACCTATAATCCCAGCACTTGGGAGTCTGTAAACAGGAGAATCACTGGGAGTCTGGATCTCTTAGTAAGACCCTGAACACCCCGTAGACCCTTCCCAGAAAAGTAAATGAATAAAATCAAATAAAGTCAGTTTCAAATCCCAATTTTGTCACTGCTCACAGAGTGACCTTGGGCAAGTCATTTAACCTTTTTAAATCTGCTTCATATATAACTGATTTTTAATGAACTTAATAAACCAGCTGTATGGTTGGATGATAATCAGGTTACTGCTTCATAAACGTAAGTTTATAACAACTTTTTTATTCACATTGAAATGTTACAAGAGTTACCTAGAAGAGTAGGAAATATTTATGAATGACGAGGAATAAAAAGTTTTTTAATGAATTTGTCTAAATGGGAAATAGGGAAAGACAAGCCAAATGTGAACAGTTTATATAGTCTCACTTGGGGAATTAGGCTGATCCCTTGTTTTGTTTTAGCCGATAAATTCCATAGTTAAGATTCTTGGGATAGTTGTATATAACTTGTAATGAAATTGTACTGCTACACTTCCTTTAAAAAATGAAAATGATTACTTTGCTTTCTAAAGAGAACGGATAATGTATTTTGCTGTTTCTTTGGATATTAATAACAAATGCATCTTGAGTTATATTTTACTTCTAAAAAAAGAAAAATATACAGCTGAGAACAATGGTATTTTTATGATAAGGATATAGTGCCTATTTACTCTTGAGTTTGTGTAATGGGTATAGATGACTTCACTGTCCTGTACGGGCCAGTAAAGGTAATGTGTGATAGAAATTCCCCAAATTAAAAACATGGGAACACTTCTTTTACCCTCTTAAGTTTGTAACATTTTAAACATTTACTGTTGCTGTGTGTAAAGTACATGATATATTTGTGAGGCATATTTCCTTTTAAGAAACTGATTTTGGGGCTGGGGAGATGGCTCAGTGGAATACGTGCATCCCTGGCAAGCACAAGGGCCTGAGTTCAATCCCCAGTTCTGCAAAAAAAAAAACAAAAAAAACAAAACAAAAAAAAAAAACACTCTTCTGAGTTTAGGAGACATGAGACACATGTCATGACGAATGTGCCACAGTAAAGGTGACGGCGGGCAGGGTAAGGACACCTGCGGTTGTCTGTGGTGCTGCCACACCCCTCTGCCCTTAGAGCACGCCTCAGATGCAGTGTGATCCCATCGGTGGTGTTCATTTAGCTACCTAATAGAGCAGAATTAACATTTTTTCCTTGTATTAACATCTTTTTAGTAATTAAAAATAATCGTTTTGCTTCGTATTCTAGCACCTAGTGCTGGCAGTGACAGCAGCCACACGTGTCTATTTAAATTTATGTTAAGTAGAATTAAAAATCCAGTTCCTCAGTCTCAGTGACAGTTTCAAGTGTTATTACCTTACGGGGCTGTGCAGACCGCGTTTCCTCCGCTGCTGAGAGTTGGACCTCACTGTTGGACAGGGCTACTGTAGATGTTTCCTGCCTCGCTCTGGAAATGAGCCTGGAAGAGAGAAAAACTTGCATTTTAAGAAAATGTACAAGACTGCTCACTTAATGTTTGATTCTTCTTTTTTTCAGATGTGTAGAAAAAATAACAACTGATAAAGGTAAGGCTTGGTCATTCTTACCTCTCTTTGTGTCCATTACACTGATTATGTGACTGCATAATAGAAAATAGAAGAAGCTTTAGCCTAGTCAGAGTAGTTAGCGCTTAAAAGGGACTTTTGTAGGGAGTGGTGTGGCTCGGCAGCCTTGCCTCAACACTGAGTGCACAGGCAGGCCTCGTGGTACGCACCTGTAATCTGTAATCCCAGTAGCGTAGGTAGGTAGCTGAGGTAGACGGATGGTAAGCTGGAGCCCAGCCCAGCCTGGGCAGTTTAACAACAGTGGGATCCTGTCTCCAGCTAAAGCTAAAGGATTGGGTTGTAGCTCAGTGTGGAAGCCCTGAGTTCAATCTCCAGTACCATAAAAATGAGTAAAATAAAGGGATACAGAAAGCATTACTGGAGTTGATAAAACTAGATGAGGGCAAGCAGATCAGGCCAGGGTGGTTTGGCATTATTTAAAAGTTCAATAATAATGGGAAAATCATAATTTGATGAAAATTTAACCTACTTGTTAAAGTACTTGGTCTCTTTAAAAGTGAAACAAGAAGAATGATGTGTAATATACATGTGAACGATAGGCAGAATCGTAGTACTAGTGGAGACCCAAATTGCAACTGCAGTTTAAAAATTGTAGACACAAGTGTTCTAAGATTTCATCCTGGTGAATAATTAGATGAAGTCATTAGGTCATTTCCATGGCAAGTTCTAGTGGACAAGATGCGGCACTGAAGTGGTTTTTGCTTTTCTGGATTATTAGGGAAGATAATATTTGGTGTTTGTAGTTTTCCACAGTTACTAAGAGATTTCATTATGTCTTTGCTGATGGGGCTAGTAGAGATGCCTCAGTTGCATTGGAACAGTTGCTCATTCGTTACATTTTTCTTGTCCTAGTCCCTGGCAGTGTTTTTTGATGCTAAATTCAAAGATACATCTTCCTTAAAACTGGAACAAATGGGGCTGGGGAGATGGCTCAGTAAAATAAGTGCTTCCCTGGCAAGCGCAAGGGCCTGAGTTCAATCTCCGGTTCCGCCCTCCCCACCCCCCCAAAAAAGAAAAAAGCCGACAGGAACAAATGTACTCTTAATTATACTTCAGTTATTGTGTATGCTGTCAGTCTAGCTTTCACACAGCTGACAGTAACATCAAGCATGAGTGTGCTGGGGAGATAGATGGCCCAGCAGAATAAGTGCTTGCCTGGCAAGCGCCAGGGCCTGAGTTCAATCCCCAGCTCTGCAAAAAAAAAAAAAAAAAGAGAGAGTTGGAGATCCAGCCCAGGGGAAATCTTCAGTACTGGGGGAAAAAAATGAATGTGTATATTTCTGTATGTTTATCTTCCTAAGTGAGGGGTTTTCTGTTCTTTATAAAGATGATTTGACATGATGAAAGGTTAAAACTTGAGTTTTAATGCCATTTAAAAGAATGACAGTGTGATTAGGAACGAGTACCTTGTATTGGTGGCTGTTCTGTAAATAACCAAACACTCAGGTTATTGGCTGAAGTTTGCAATTTGAGGCTAATATCCCATTGTGTACCAGGTAGAATCATTTTTATAACAAGTGTGTATTTGTAGAAATTTTTGCATGGTTATTTTGTTTAGCAAAGTATTTTTATTTTGACAGAAGTAGCAAATTTTATTTTTGTTGCTGTTATTACTTGGAATATAGATGTTATGTATACTGAGACTGTTTCTTGCTCATATTTGTAGATTTTTTTGAGGTGAAGAAAATGTAAAAACCATTAACAAGTTACCAGACTAGTTTTGATTAAACAAACAAAAAACCCTGCCTTTTTCAGAGTCAGAATTACTTTATGTGTCTAATGAGAATGTATAAAGAGTTCATTCTGGGTTGGCTGCAGAAAAACTTAGAATTTGAATTTTGCGCTTTTGAGGCGGGCGAGTGGGGGAGTCAGGTGGGCCTTGAATTTACTGTGTAGCCCAGGCTGAGCTCAAACGCAAGCTAGTCCCTTGCCTCAGCCTTCCCAGTGCTGGGATTACTTAAGTGTGTGCCACCACACCTGGCTTGGATTTTGAATATGGTGAAATGTTGAGCCCCAGTTTGAACTGTTCATGGTGGTGCACGCTTGCCGTCCCAGCCTTGTGGGAGGCTAAGGCGGGAAGATTGGAAAATCAGGCCTAGCCTGGACAACTTGGCACTGCAGAGATTCCCTGTGTGGAAATGGGGAGGGAGAGAGAATTTAAACCCTCTGTGGAGATGGATCGTTTTTGTGTAGGTGATCTTAAACCAGAAGCTGGCGTGCTGTGTAGCTGTACAGCTGTGGAGACATGAAGCCCTTCTGGTAGTTCAGTCTCACATCTGGCAGAAGCTTAGTTTCTTGTTTTTTGGATTTTGGGGTTTTTTTGGAGGGAGCGTGAGTTACTAGGAAGGGAACCCAGACCTTTCCTGCTGAGTCATATATCCTCCCTCTGTCTTTGAGATAAGGGTTATCTGCCTCACTGCCCAGGTGGGGCTTACTCACAGACCGTATTACTTCAGCCTCCTATTAGAGTGTGGGCCCTCTCCTTTGTATTAAAGTAACAGAGGGAATTTCTCTCAGGATAAGAATGTTCTTGAGCATCTTAATACTTTCATGGGAATTGTCCAGGTCCTTTATTCTGTTTCTACTTCAAATTTGGAGACCTCCTGAGCTCTTCCTCTTTTAGTTTTTGAAAGCACAGATACACTATGATACATACATTGTAACACAGATTTAAGCCTTGTCAAATTATTTGTTATGGGATGTTTTATCAGTCAGGTAACTGAATCTTTCTGTCCCGTATACACAGATGTATACAATAATTTCCCATTATAATTCAGCTGCTATCGGCACTGTCTCTGACTTAGTATTATTATTCTATTATGAATACTACTAACGTTGAGATACCTTGTTTTGATAAAATATTACTCTTGGACTGAAGCAAGAGAAATGTCGCATCCTAGAGGGCTAACGCAAATCCAGTCATTATGACTCCCTCCGCAGCCCCCAGGAGGCCCGTCTGTATGTGAGGGCGCGACAGTACCCTCCCTGAGACTGCCCTGCATGCACAGGAAGCGCTGGGTCAGTGCCCTCTGCCTTTCAGCTCTTGAATTAAACCCTGCCACGCGAGTCAGACTCCGTCCAGACAGAGGCCGCTGCAGCATGGGTGCCATGCTGTCCTCGTGGCAGCCGTTCTGGCTTCTGCCTGCCTGATTCACTACACCTTTCAGGCTTCTTTGATCAGAAACTCCCAGTTTGTACTCTTGACTACTGCTCTGCTGGTTCTGTTTATAACTCTGCAGCTTTTTGTTTTTTGTTTGTTTTTAATGTACTTAGTACAGGCTCTACAGGGTCTCACTACACAGATTGAACTCATAATGATCTTCCAATTTTCAGCCTCCCAAGCGTTGAGATTACAGGCGCACACCACCATGTCCGGTGTCAGTTTTTGTCTCAGTGTGCCTGGGAGTGGGGCTGACATGGCATGTGGTACCCGAGATCAAACCCCAGAACTCTGCCTCTTTGACAATTTCTAAACCTCATTGTTTCTTCACTGTAACTTTCCCTAAGCATCTGTTATCTGTGGATGATTGCTGGGTAGGAAAGCTATCCAAAAGCTCAGTGGCTTCAGGGGCAGAAGGTTTTGATTTTTGATCAGATTGTCTCATTGTTCTCCAAGTCCAGAGTTCCAGGTCCTGATGGTCTTGGGCAGCACCTAAAATGCTGAAACTGGAAGCTGTCCATTAGCATAAGATCAAGGAAAATTTAATGCAGAAAATCAGTTATCTTTCTGTTTATTATCAACAGAGGTAGAAAGTTGAAATTGTAGAATTAAAAAGTATCATTTACAATAATACAAAATATGAACGCTGTTAAGAACATATTGTATGGGCCGGGGATATACAGCTCATTGGCGTGTCTGCCTGGCAAGCTCAAGGTCCTGAGTTTGATCCCTGGTACCGCAAAAAAAAAAGGACACATTGTAGACAAGGTGGTTCTGTCAGGAAATTGTGGGGCCACACAGAGAAGATTGAAACTATACCCTTGTCTCTGATAAATTGCAAAAATGAACTAAAGATGCATTGGAGACATTGGAATGTGGGACCTGAACTATTACTAGAAGATAAGAAACACTTCTGGGTGTTGAAACAGGCAAGGAATTTTGGAGAAGACCCTAAAACTAGGAAATAAAAGTAAAAGTAGATATGGGATTATAGCAAACTAGAAAGCTTCAGCACAGCAAAGGAAACAATCACAGGGAAGAAACAGCCTACAGAATGGGAAACAATGTTAGCCAACAGAGGGTGGCTCTATAAGAAATTCAAAAGCCTAGTTAAAAGTGGGCAGGTGATCTCAATAAACACTTCTCAAAAGAAAAAAATACAAATAGCCAAAAAATATACTTTCAGAGATGCTTTAAAACCGTGGGCCACCATGAAATGCAAATCAGAACTGCAATGAGATACCATCTCTTAGAGTGCATGTTATACAAAATAAATAACTTGCTAGTGAGGATGTGGACAAATGGAAACCCTTGTAGAAACTGGTAACACTGGTATGGAAACCCCTATAGTGATTACTCAAAAATTACAAAATGTAACTGCTGTGGAGACCAGCAGTCCTATTACTGTAAATAAATGAAGCATTAGATCCAAGATTTACACTCTGATGTCAGCTGCAGTACTGTTCATGGTACCCAAGAAACAGGAGCAGTGTTAAAGAAATGGGCATGTTGCAAGTGGAATATTCTTCTGCAAGATAAGAACCAAGCCTCCTTTTGTGACAGCTTGGGTGGAACTGGAGACCAGTATGTTAAATATGCAGGCATAAAAGGCTGGTACGCCCTGCATACTGGGACAGCACTCACCCTAAGTTAGGGCAGGAGGGGGTAGAGAGAGAACAGATTCTGAATTACACAGTTCAGTATGACCAAGGAATTCCAGGGTGCTGGTGGGCAGTGGTGACTGTAAGTAATAATTGAGTAGTATGTATTATAAAAAGCTGGAAGAAAGGATTTTGAAATT